GCAACAACTTGCAGCCCAAATTAGTTTTCAAGAAAACATCACACATGCCAATAATGTTGGACAAACCTTCATTTCCCATTCGAACATAACCATAATCTCCTTTGGTGTAGAAAGTGAAGAAATCAACTTGAGAAGCCACATGAAAGGAAGCACCAAATCAATCCCCCAATTGCTCTTTTAGCCCACAAAATTGACATAATCATCTTCACAAACAACCATGAGATCACCATCGGTAGTAACCGCCATTGTGTCTTATTTCTTTTTATTAGTACTTTTTGTCACGGCTTTTTCTCCTTGTTTTTGAGCTTTCGGTATTCCTGCTTCATGTGTCATTTCTCATGGCAATGATGACACTCAATGTCTTTTTTTGAAAAAGAACCATCTCTTGATTTGTCACTGCTTTGATCACAACCATGAGGAGTTTTACTCCTCCATCTTGTTTTGCTTTGGCCTCTCACAACAGATGCCTTCGAATGAGAGAAACTCGCTGATTTTCTTCTAGTTTCTTCATTCAACAAGCTCCTAGTGACTCGGTGTAACAACCCCGACATGTGATTAGCCTATAATTCTTGAATAAGAATGTTTACCAAGTAATGAAGATGAAATCCTAAGTTAATTGCATGTGTTATGTGTTATTTGTGTTTGTATCTGTCTATTGTAGAAATATCTATCGGTAATTCTGCTTGAATCTGTGAATTGAAGGCCTTATTGGCATCCAAACATGAAATTGACTATGTTTATATGTTATTTGGAATTTCTAGAACCCTATGGTACATTTAATTAGAATTCAATTTAGAACCAAATAGTTAGAATAAATTAATTACTAAGTTGAATTCATTTAGTTCTAATCATAATTAATTAACCTAAGCTAATTGGACGTATATAAGACCACTTGTAACTTTTGAATACAACATTCCATCTTCATTTCATTGAGGCCAACATGGGAGAGAGAGAGAGAGAGAGAGAGAGAGATTGACTCTAGAGTGAGAGAAGGAAGAGAATTCAAGGAAGATACATGAAGATTGAAGATAAATTGGAAGAATTTGAAAGATTTAGCATCAACACCTTTAAAACCAAGGTTTAAGGTAGGAAATTCAATCATTTACTTGTGAATTTGAGTCACTTAGTGTAAGAATTCAAGGGATTTAGAAGAATTAACATGAGAATTAAGTTAAGGATGTGGAATTGAGCATGATTCATGCATTGCATGCATATTTCATGGCATTTTGAGTTTGATTCCAAGAATTCTCACATGCATGTAAGTATATACAAAGTGTCAAGATTTGTTTTGAACAATTGACTTGCTTTTTGGCCTTGATTTTGCGAAATGGTTTTCTATACATGATATGTTATGAGTTTACACATGTTTTCTCAAGTTTTGGGCCTAAAAGGATGTGTTTTGATGCTTCAAAATCAAGTTTTGAACTTGGAGAGCAATATGGAAATCCCAGAATTCGAGCAGTTCGCTTAAGCGTACATTTCAAGCTCCCAGTAGTTTTGTAGACAATTGCACGGTGGCTTGAGCGATCGATTTTGCACTTGAGCGAGCATTCTTTTCCTCAATACTTGGATCGAGCAGCTGTCGAGCGACCGTCGAGCATGAAAATCGAGCATCCCGTACTTTTGTAGACTTTACAGACTGCTCAAGCGAACAAAGTTATGCTCGAGCGAACTACCCTATTTTCAAAATTTTTGCAAAGTGTTTCTAAGGACATTTTTGCATCCTCATTGCATCTAAGGCACTCCTAGGCCATGTTTAAGCTACAATAATGAGGATAAAAGTTAGAAACACACACTAAGAAAGAAGAATAATAAGTTAAGCACTTTGGGGCATGTGTTCAATGTGTATCTGTCACTTGTTTGTGTAGGTCATGTGTTATCGCCCACCTGATCAGTCGGTTCTGTCCAAGTGAACTGCTTTGCTACTAGAGTTATCTGTGAGTAACAACTCTGTAAAGCTATGTTTGACTATAAGTATTTCTTGAACAATATGATATGATTTGTTTTTTGAAATGCTATTTTGTGAATCATGAATGATTGTCCATTATTCTGAAATGTATAGTGGCATCCTTAGTATCATGTGATTCATGTGGTATCTATTATATGGTACCTAGTACCAGGGTTTACGTGGGCTCCATTTGTGGGACTGGTTATATATAACCGCTTATGTGATCTGCATGTGGGTCTTTGATGACCAAATCTTATGTGAATAAGGGTCTTTATGACCATCTCAAATGAATATGGGTCTTTATGACCACCTCATGTACACGTAGGCCTTTATGGCCAATCTGATCTGTAGCAAATGGATGTACCACGTATGATTATTTATGAAATTTGTAAAAGCATGTGAATCTAAATCTGTTTTTGATATGGAATCTAATTTTTGAATCTGTTTGGACATCATTCATAAACTCTTTACTTTGTTGTTATTCACTGTGCTCCAACTTACTGTGTTATTTACATATGTAGGTGATCAGGCGCGGGACCAAGCCTAAGAGCTTGGAGTTCTGTTTGTCAAGCCAACCATCGTGCCTCCTGAGGAGGTTCCTAAGTGTTTCAGTGTTCAAGTCAAGTGCATGTGATGTCTGTTTTTATCTTTTTTTTTCTTTTGTTGAACAAGACTTTTGTATAGTCTGTAATATGGCTAAGTCCCTTTTTGTTTATCTGTACATGAGATAACTTGTGTATGACGTCATATATATATATATATATGATTATAAGTTTAAATTTTCTGTCCCATGTAAGTTTACATAGCTCTACGGACATTGTATTTAGTATATTTACTTCTGCTAGCCCCTAATTATTTGATTACTGTTAAGAGGCCTTCGGTAATCTACAGATTACTGACCAGTTACGATGCTGAACCTATAAGGGCTGGTATGGGTTGTGACCATTGGCTTATTGTGACAACTCCATTGGGCACCGAATTACTAAACGTCACAATCGAAGTCTTCCAGCTTTCGGGTAAGGAACTAAATAGCATCAAAGCCTGCAACTCATCATCAAAAACAATTTTCAAAGAAGCAAGTTAATTAACAATACTCTTAATTTTATTCAAATGTTTGGAGTGGGGTGCCCTCTTTATTGTTTAAATTAACCAACTTTCGAAATAGAAAAGGTTTATATTTGTAACTGATTTTCTATCATAAAGACCTTATAATTTTTTCCCATAAATCATGTGCTGAAATTTTGGTAACAACATAATAAAACACACTGTCAAATCTGTGAATTGAAGGCCTTATTGGCATCCAAATATGAAATTGACTATGTTTATATGTTATTTGGAATTTCTAGAACCCTATGGTACGTTTAATTAGAATTCAATTTAGAACCAAATAGTTAGAATAAATTAATTATTAAGTTGAATTCATTTAGTTCTAATCATAATTAATTAACCTAAGCTAATTGGACCTATATAAGACCACTTGTAACTTTTGAATACAACATTCCATCTTCATTTCGTTGAGGCCAACATGAGAGAGAGAGAGAGAGAGAGAGAGAGATTGACTCTAGAGTGAGAGAAGGAAGAGAATTCAAGGAAGATACATGAAGATTGAAGATAAATTGGAAGAATTTGAAAGATTTAGCATCAACACCTTTAAAACCAAGGTTTAAGGTAGGAAATTCAATCATTTACTTGTGAATTTGAGTCACTTAGTGTAAGAATTCAAGGGATTTAGAAGAATTAACATGAGAATTAAGTTAAGGATGTGGAATTGAGCATGATTCATGCATTGCATGCATATTTCATGGCATTTTGAGTTTGATTCCAAGAATTCTCACATGCATGTAAGTATATACAAAGTGTCAAGATTTGTTTTGAACAATTGACTTGCTTTTTGGCCTTGATTTTGCGAAATGGTTTTCTATACATGATATGTTATGAGTTTACACATGTTTTCTCAAGTTTTGGGCCTAAAAGGATGTGTTTTGATGCTTCAAAATCAAGTTTTGAACTTGGAGAGCAATATGGAAATCCCAGAATTCGAGCAGTTCGCTTAAGCGTACATTTCAAGCTCCCAGTAGTTTTGTAGACAATTGCACGGTGGCTTGAGCGATCGATTTTGCACTTGAGCGAGCATTCTTTTCCTCAATACTTGGATCGAGCAGCTGTCGAGCGACCGTCGAGCATGAAAATCGAGCATCCCGTACTTTTGTAGACTTTACAGACTGCTCAAGCGAACAAAGTTATGCTCGAGCGAACTACCCTATTTTCAAAATTTTTGCAAAGTGTTTCTAAGGACATTTTTGCATCCTCATTGCATCTAAGGCACTCCTAGGCCATGTTTAAGCTACAATAATGAGGATAAGAGTTAGAAACACACACTAAGAAAGAAGAATGATAAGTTAAGCACTTTGGGGCATGTGTTCAATGTGTATCTGTCACGTGTTTGTGTAGGTCATGTGTTATCGCCCACCTGATCAGTCTGTTCTGTCCAAGTGAACTGTTTTGCTACTAGAGCTATCTGTGAGTAACAACTCTGTAAAGCTATGTTTGACTATAAGTATTTTTTGAACAATATGATATGATTTGTTTTTTGAAATGCTATTTTGTGAATCATGAATGATTGTCCATTATTCTGAAATGTATAGTGGCGTCCTTAGTATCATGTGATTCATGTGGTATCTATTATATGGTACCTAGTACCAGGGTTTACGTGGGCTCTATTTGTGGGACTGGTTATACATAACCGCTTATCTGATCTGCATGTGGTTCTTTGATGACCGAATCTCATGTGAATAAGGGTCTTTATGACCATCTCAAATGAATATGGGTCTTTATGACCACCTCATGTACACATAGGCCTTTATGATCAATCTGATCTGTAGCAAATGAATGTACCACGTATGATTATTTATGAAATTTGTAAAAGCACGTGAATCTGAATCTGTTTTTGATATGGAATCTAATTTTTGAATCTATTTGGACATCATTCATAAACTTTTTACTTTGTTGTTATTCACTGTGCTCTAACTTACTGTATTATTTACATATGTAGGTGATCAGGTGCGGGACCAAGCCTAAGATGTCAGCTTGGAGTTCTGTTTGTCAAGCCAACAATCGTGCCTCCCGAGGAGGTTCCTAAGTGTTTTAGTGTTCAAGTCAAGTGCATGTGATGTCTGTTTTTATCTTTTTTTTTTTCTTTTGTTGAACAAGACTTTTGTATACTCTGTAATATGGCTAAGTCCCTTTTTGTTTATCTGTACATGAGATAACTTGTGTATGACGTCATATATATATGATTATAAGTTTAAATTTTCTATCCCATGTAAGTTTACATAGCTCTATGTACATTGTATTTAGTATATTTACTTCTGCTAGCCCCTAATTATTTGATTACTGTTAAGAGGCCTTCGGTAATCTACGGATTACTGACCAGTTACAATGCTGAACCTATAAGGGCTGGTTTGGGTTGTGACCATTGGCTTATTGTGACAACTCCATTGGGCGCCGAATTACTAAACGTCACAATCGAAGTCTTCCAGCTTTCGGGCAAGGAACTAAATAGCATCAAAGCCTGCAACTCATCGTCAAAAACAATTTTCAAAGAAGCAAGTTAATTAACAATACTCTTAATTTTATTCAAATGTTTGGAGTGGGGTGCCCTCTTTATTGTTTAAATTAACCAACTTTCGAAATAGAAAAGGTTTATATTTGTAACTGATTTTCTATCATAAAGACCTTATAATTTTTTCCCATAAATCATGTGCTGAAATTTTGGTAACAACATAATAAAACACACTGTCATCAATCCATTGATGGATAACACTAACTATTTTTCGATTAAGCCTCTTCCATTCATCATCTTTCATACTCTCGGGTTTGCCACTATCACCCTCAATGGGTCCATACAAGTCTTTACAAAATAGCAGGTCCTCCATTTTAGTTTTCCAAGTAACCCAATTGCTTTTATTGAAGCTAGTCATATGACCCACATTCCTCGTCATTGATTTACACAAATAAACGAACCCAAATAAATCGTAGGCTCTGATACCAATTTTTAGGAAATATAGATGATTTTCCACAAGTAAATCAATCAAAAGAAATAAAAAATATTGCAAAAAAATTAAATCAATGACATAAGAATTTTTATGTGGTTCCTTCAATGTGAGGTACGTCCATTGGACCAAAATCCAATTCCACTATCAACCAAGAGTTTTCAAATGATTACAAACAAGGCATGAATTGTCTCTCAAACCACCCTTAGGTAAATTCCAAATAATCACAAATAAACAAGAGGAAAGATTTCACCAAATAGATGAACAAATTGTCTACGAAACAAAGTTGAAAAAGACACCAAGTCTGAACCAAAGTTGGCACATTTGAAGCACACAACACTTTAACCAACCAACCCACATATTGATTAAGCAACAAGTATAAAAAAAAAGAGCCCTTAGTGCCTTGAATCCACCGAATTTTTCATCAATATTGGCAACCACATCATACACAATAAACAATGCCAAAATGATGCTGTTGACTCTTGGGCTTTTTTCTCAAAACCCTAGCTGTCACCAAACAGATTTTAAAATATCCATTGGGCCTTCAAAAAAATCGGATAAAATATATAAAAAATATATTATAACCAACACCAAACCAAAATTAAATATTCTTTAAATAAATTATTGGGTCCCATACTCCACTAAGGAGGTATATGGAATTTGGGATAAAAGGGTTTAGGAAATTAGAGTTGAAGCCTCTATGGAGATTGCAAAAGACAAGGAGAAACCACAACTTTCATTGGCCAGTCATTTCCTATGACTATGAATATGATGTTCATCATATGTTTTCTAGTTAGTGGGTGTGTAGATCCTTATCATTTAATGTCACCATGTTAAAAATTAAACATTGTGTGGTGGGTTTGTCTACCTATGATGGTGAAAGACTCGAGCAAGCCTTGATTGACAGTTTCTATTGTTAAAGGGTGGAATGAAGGTGCTACACTACCATAAGACCTCGAGGTACGAAGAGAAAAATAATAATAAAAAGTAAAAAATCCTCAGCATAGCCCACACCAAGCAATTTGGCTGTCTACATGGCGGGACACATGTGAAAATATTGATATGAATTTTTATTTTTATTTTTAATTTTTGGAATGTTTTCTCGAGCCCTAACTAGTTTAATTTTTTGTAGGATATTTTCTTGGATTTGCATCATTAGCTATACAAGAAGCTGTACGACAACATTGTTGTGGTAAAATGAAGATTAGAATTTCTTATGCATCTTTAAGTTGTAGTTTGAAATATGTTTGGATGTCGCTCTAAACGTGTTTGAATTCCGACCATGGGGATGTCATTTTTGAGTTGCGAAGCGAAGTTTTCTAGAAATTGTTTTAATAATAATTCATTTTTGAGTTGGAACGCTTAGCTTAACAGAGAAGGCTTGGAATTGTTCTACTCCGAAGAGTTGTTTGTATCATGTGGGGGATATTTCACAAGCAGTTGTAGCTCTCTTACACTACTATTATAAATCTATTATGATTGATAATGTAATTATTTTTAAATCCAAGTTTAAGTAAAAATTAGAAATTGAATTCTCTTTTTACCAAGACACAGTTGTTGCTGCTGCTAAATAGTAGTGGTATGAATGAGTATGTATCACTTGTTGTTGCTGCTTAGATTTTTATTAGTTAGGGTTGTGTATGTCACTAAAGCCCAACTTAGGATTTTGGAAAAGGGAAAAGCATTGAAGTATAACGGCTTCGATTTAGACCCTACCCATTTAATACTCTCAGATCTAGATTACGTACTTTTAATTGTTGTTCATATCCTTTGTCGTTTTGTTAGTAGTCAAGTTGAGTTGTTGGTCGTGTTTGAAAAGATTGGGAGTTAGTTTTTTTTCAAAAAGGTTGATGTTCTATTTTCTGCTTGTTCGCTTGAGCTGTGTTTTGGTCGCTTAAACGGTCTTTGAGGTCTCTCAGTATTTTACAGGTCTACAAAAGTTCTGGGAGTAGGGTATCTTCACTCGAGTGGTATTTCTTGCAATCGAGCGATCTTTTTCAGTCTGCAAAACTTCTGGAAAGGGGTCATTGTGCGTTCGAGCAGTGTTTTGGTCACTCAAGCGGTGTCACTTATTGTCTCTGATGCTCAAGAGGTGTTTTGATCGCTCGAGCGGTCTACGCGTATATCAGTTCAGAAAAAGGGATTTTTCAATCACTTTTTTGAATTCTCGCTCTCTCTAAAGCCTTCCAAACCCTAATTTCTTTACTCTTTCTCTTTAGTTCTTGCTTAAAGCCTCAAATACACCCTCATCCATCGATTTCTCCACCGTAGCTCCTTGGAGAGAAAGGTAGAGCTCGTCGAAAACTTCATTTTTTATCGGAGGAAATCTTGTTTTTGGCCCCATCAAGCTTTAACCCATGTTTTCTTCATCTTCTAGACTTAAGGTAAGGATTTTTTTAACCTTCTAGTATGAATTTTTCAACTTTGTCAAGTATTGAGATTTGGGAAAATGGGGATTTGATTTAGGATTTAGATTTTGAAAATTAAAAGAGAGGTTTTCAAATGGGTTCTTGAGAAGGGTTGTGGGGATGTGTTTATTGTTGAGTTATGTTGAAAAGTTGGAAATATTTTCTTTAGAAGTGTTTTTGAAAGAAAAGGTGTATGATTTGAAAATCATAAATGTTTGAGTTATGAAAGAAAAGGAAATGAAGTTGGGTTCTTCAAAGGATGAAATAAATGTATATGTTGATAATGATGGTGGAGTTGGATATATGTATCACTCATATTTTGAAGAATTATGAGATTATAATTATAATTATTGTTGGAAAATTATCTGTTGATTAGAAATATCTATTTTGGGCTATTGATGGAAGATAGTTTTGATTGTTGTAGAAATTGCATAAAGATTAGGTTAATTGAAACTAATTATTCACACATCTTGCATTGAGCATTGTTTTATACTTAAACATTGAAAATTTATTGTTTTGAGAAAAAGGGTATACACCTTGGTGAATCCAGTTAGGGGGTGTGGTTGTGGTTATTATGTTGGCCTGTGTGTCCTTGATGAAAGTCCAGAAACTCGCGTGGTTAGGTGTCGATCCTTCTGGTTAGTACCAGTGAAATGACTTTGGTAGTGCTTATAAAGCCTACTAACCGACATGTACCTAGAGATTCCTAGTATTTTGTATCTACTGCCATGTTTTCTAACTGGGACAGTATTATTATTGAATTGAATCACATCTTATTGAAACATGGCATTGTTTTGAAAAATGAAGCATGATGTTTTGGAAAAATGGCTTGGCATTACATTGTATTCACCATTTGTTAAGCTTTATATGTTGTGTTTGAGCATCTCTACTGGGCTTTAGCTCACCCTACGTAGAAAATAATTTTCAGGTGCTGATGATATGCCTCCACCAAGGACATAGCTTGGGAGGACTTGGAGCTAAGAGCTTCTCTGTTTTGTTTTGATGTTATTATTTTGTACAAGCCGTGGGCTTTAACTGTATTGAGTTGAACTCATTTTTGTTGTACCCAAGCATTGACTTGGAAATATGTAGCCATTAGAGCATATGCTTACACGTATCACCTTTTATTTCAAATCATTACATATGTGGCATATGCTATAGATTCAAGATCTATGATTTAAAAATGTATACTCACATATGTCATCCTTTGTACGGTAAAAAAATATAAATGAAAGGTTCATATTTTGCATGTCTATGTTTCTATTGGATATCATGAGATGGGTTGTCATTATTATTTTAGGGTATTACAACTTGGTATCAGAGCTACTAGGTTTGAATACTTTGGGATCGTAGGACGTGATTTTTACCACAATGGGTTTGTCTTGCTAGATAATATTAGAAGTAGACCTGGTATGCTATATGATAATATGTTTATATGACTAGATGAGTATGGGATTTTGGTTTCTAAGGTATTGATTGGATCTACAAGTTTCTAGAAGTCCTATTAGAAGAGCACTTGATCATTGCTTATTCTAATTGGAACTTTGGAAATGTCGCAGAACAATTAATTATATGGAAAGTAAATTCATTTGTGATTACGTGACTCGGTACTTATGTAGAGTAAATTAGTGGATGTCCACTGTATTAGGACGTGAGTGAGTTAGCTTCGACATATTTCTAAATATGCTAAATCATTGTGTTACCTTTATTATAATGTAAGGACGAGGGCATGGTGGTGTTAGGCATGGCAGGCCTAAGTGGCAAGAGTTGTCGATTCCGGATAAAATTCCGGCACAAGAGAAAGGAGTTGGTCAGGCCAACGGGGCCGAGCCAGTAGGTTAGCAAGCCTTGGGCGCCTT